AAATAAATTTCTTAGAAAAATTATATTTATTTACCTTGTAGTATTTTTTATTCTTTTGAGAGATTTCTTGGTTTTTTGCATCTGAAATTTCACAAAAACACCCTGGCGTTTACTCCATTCATGAAATTATAAAGCTCATATAAAATTCCCATTGTTTTTTTTAATTTCGTTTCCATATCCACAAATACGAATAACAATTAAATTTAGTTAGAAAAATTATATTTATTTACCTTGTAGTATTTTTTAATCTTTAAGAGATTTCTTGGTTTTTTGTATCTGAAATTTCACAAAAACACCCTGGCGTTTAACTCCACTCATGAAATTATAAAGCACATCTAAAATTCCCATTGTTTTCTTTAATTTCGTTTCCATATCCACAAATACGAATAACAATTAAATTTAGTTAGAAAAATTATATTCATTTACCGTGTTGTATTTTTTATTCTTTTTAGAGATTTTTTGGACTTTTGCATCTGGAATTTCATAAAAACCCCTTGACGTTTAACTCCATTCATAAAATTATAGAGTTCGTCTAAGATTCCCATCGAGTTTTTAATTTCATTTCTATGAGCACATATACGAATAACAATTAAATTTAGTCTATGTGCATGGCACCACACATATATCGCTTTAGGAACCTCTTTTAATATTAGAGCTTGTACTCTCTTATTAGCACCTCTCATATTACTGGCACCATCCATACTTTGCCCAATCAGGTATTCCAGTGGAAGGTGTAATGTTTTTAATTTAGATAGAACATTATTTTTAATATTTTCTCCTGTTGTATCAGAAGTTGTAAAAAATATTGCTTCTTGGGGTAGCAACTCTACTGGTGGTAATTTTCCAAGACTTATAACTTTGATCTCAAAGAATGTCTCAGTATTAAGGGCATATCTAGAGAAAAATCGTACTTAACGTGCAAATAATGGCAATAAAATATTGAGGCCACATATAAACTTCATATCCTCTGGCCATGTAAAAAAATTAGCTGTGAGATAATGAAAATAAAAATATTTATTGAATCAAATAGTTAAGCAAATTATGTCAAATTGTGCCTTTCGTTTAATATTAGATGGTGCATTTGATATTTCAAAAAAAGAATGTGTTGCCTTAATTATAAGGTATATTCAAGATTATCCACATCCAGTGGAAAGAATTATTAATATTTTTACAACCTCTGATACAACCGGAGAAAATATTAAAAATAATGTTTTGTCTAAGTTAAAAGCATTACATCTTCCACTAAAATACCTCATTGGTCAAAGTATGGATGGCGCCAATAATATGAGAGGTGTTAATAAGGGAAGTACAGGCTCTAATATTAAAAGAGGCTCCTAAAGCAATTTATGTGTGGTGACATGCTCATAGACTTAATAATTGTTATTCGTATATGTGCTCATGGAAATTAAATTAAAAACTCGATGGGAATTTTAGACGAACTCTATAATTTTATGAATGGAGTTAAACGTCAAGGGATTTTATGAAATTCCAGATGCAAAAGTCCAAAAAATCTCTAAAAAGAATAAAAAATACAACACGGTAAATGAATATAATTTTTCTAACTAAATTTAATTGTTATTCGTATTTGTGGATATGGAAACGAAATTAAAAAAACAATGGGAATTTTAGATGAGCTTTATAATTTCATGAATGGAGTTAAACGCCAGGGTGTTTTTGTGAAATTTCAGATGCAAAAAACCAAGAAATCTCTCAAAAGATTAAAAATTACTACAAGGTAAATAAATATAATTTTTCTAAGAAATTTATTTATTTTCAGAAATTGGGCCTCATCCTTCAAACCATTAGAATTTTTTTTAAACATTTATGAATATAAAATAGCTTGTTTAAATGAACTTAGCAATTCTGATGATCCAATCACATGTTCAGGTGCTGAAGGATTGTTATCAAGAATAAAACAATTTGAATTTATTTTAAGTTTATTTATTTTGAGAATAATCCTAAAATGTACACTGAAACCTGTATTGAAATGCAGGCTATTGGAAATGATTTAGCCATGGTGAATAAATTAATTCAACATACCAAAAATAAATTCCAAAGATTTATTTTTTTAATTAAGCAAATGGTGATAATATATTCTCTAATTACATAAAGATGTTAAATCCTTTATGGATGATAATAATATTATAACAGATATTTATAATATAAAATGATTATTTAAGCTGGATCAAACAGAGTTTGATATTTGTATGGAACAACAAAAAGAGAAGTAAAAAAATGTTTATTTTAAAAATAATATTTAATTTTTTAGATATAAAAATGAAAATTTTTACCCAGTAATTAATATGATCATTAAACACTTAAATGAAAGATTTGATTATCAATCATTAAATTTTTTGAATCAGATTTCTATTTTCACTCCTGCTGGATTAGTAGAGAATGCAATTATAGAAATTTCCCAAATATCTGAAATAGTTTCTTTATATGGTTTTGATGCAGAGAAGATTGTTGATGAATTTTTCTAATTTCAGACCACTATACTTAAATTCCTCATCAATTATTTATAATAATGATCTAATGAATATTAGAAAAAAATGATGCCTTATATGATGAAAGTAAATAATTATATTATAACTTAATTTTAATATATTTATAGACGAAAACGTGAAATATACTAAAGTTACCAATACAATAAGATGGTTCAACTATTCATTTATTCTACCATGTCGATTACTAATAAAATTGAGTTCCTTTCCTTCTTTAAAAACATTATATAAACATCTTATAACTCTACCAACTACCTCATGCTCTGCTGAAAGAGCTATGAGTAAAGTTAAAATTGTTAAAACGCGTATAAGATATTATATTTATTATTAATATCAAGTGAAATTGATATACTTGATACATTTAAAACAGAAGATATTATAACAGATTTTGCAATAACCTCAAAAAGACTATATCTTTTAATCGCCTTATCCATATTTTTTATATCAAACAAATAAATTTAGGAATTTGTCATTATAATTTACTTTTTTTAAATATTTTAATAAATTTATAAAATTAAGACTATTAATATATTTTGTTTACTTGTCCCTTATTAGTTATCATAATTTAATTTTTTTTTATATTTTAATAAATATATAAAATTAAGACATTTCGTGGACTTCTAATGTACGCTATCTCTAACCGACTAGGTAAAATTTAATGACCTTATTAAACTACCACAAAAACCACTTTTAGAAGATCCGGTTTTTTTCGAGTTTTCATTTTTATTTTTTTTACCGACGAGTAGACCCAATGACGTATAATATATAACGAAACGCAGACGACGATTGGGAGACGCTAACTGCGGACATAAAGGAAACGGCGATTCAGATTGTAGGACAGACCAATAGAGGCAAAGCTTTGAACGGCGATTCTAGATTGTAGGACAGACCAATAGAGGCAAAGCTTTGAACGGCGATTCAGATTGTAGGACAGACCAATAGAGGCAAAGCTTTGAACGGCGATTCAGATTGTAGGACAGACCAATAGAGGCAAAGCTTTGAACGGCGATTCAGATTGTAGGACAGACCAATAGAGGCAAAGCTTTGAACGGCGATTCAGATTGTAGGACAGACCAATAGAGGCAAAGCTTTGAATAGGGAACTATGGTGGTGGGATCAATCGGTTAGGGATTTCATCGAAAGAAAGAAAATTCTATATAGACGGTGGCATAAATCTGTCGAAGGATTATCATGAATATAGGGAGGCGAAGAGAGCAGGCAAGAAGGCCGTTGAGCGAAGAATGCTGCGTACACCGAGATGGCAAACAAACTGGATCATAAAGGGGGCGACAGGTTTATGTACAAATTGGCCAAGATAAGGGAGAAGAAAAGTCGAGATGTCGGAGTGCTTAAAATAATCAAAAATGAGGAGAGTCAAACCTTATTCAAGCCGAAGGGAGTGATGGAAAGGTGGAAAGGATATTTCGAGGAACTTATGAATATTGCTAATGACAAAGATTTCCTTCCCCATATTGAGCCAAACATAAGTATGGTCGAACACTTTCGGGAGGATGAAGTTAGGAGGCAAATGAACAAGATGCAAAAAGGAAAAGCTAATGGCCCAGATGGAATTCCTATGGAAGCATGGGTCGGATGCCGAGAAGAAGGAGTCACGGCCATGACGAACCTTTATAACAAGATATTGGGAGAAGAACGAATTCCTAATCAATGGAGAGCAAGCACGATTATGCCCCTTATTCAAAGGCAAAGGAGACCCTCGGGAGTGTGGTAATTACAGAGGTATCAAGCTAACTTGCCACATCCTGAAATTTATGGAAAGGATCTTAGTAAGAAAGCTGAAGAAAGAGGTGGAAATAACACTATATATTTTCAGCAAAACGTTTTTTTTGCATTAAATTATCATAATAATAAAAAAAAATCTTTAATACATTCACTTATTCAAATTTAACATTGCAAGAACCGGGTACCTTTACAATTATATTTATTTTTATTATTCAAATTCTGTAGCCACGTATACAACATTATGCACAACAATATATCGTCTGTCTAGAATTGGAGTGCTCCACTTTGCGCAAATGTTTAAAAATGATAAAATCAACAATTAAAGTTTAAAAAATATGATATAGGAAAAAGTTATTGAATCAATTTTGACAAATAACTATGGCAAAAATTAATATTTTTTTTAATCTAGTTTTTTCTTTATATACTTCTCTTCTTTCTTTCTTTCTTTCTTTCTTTCTTTCTTTCTTTCTTTCTTTCTTTCTTTATATATATATTGGGAATAAATAAGTTATTATCCACTTCTAACTCAAAAAAATTTTGAAAATGTCGAGTTGAGCACTCCAATTCTAGACCGACAACACATGTTACGAACATTTCTTATTCACCACCATTTATCAATATGGCCGACAGGAAATGCAAATTTTTTTTCAATCATACAATCGTTATTCATATCAAAAATCCTTTTTTTAAAATATATACAGCAATTGTAAATGTAGAAAGAAAGAAAGAAAGAAAGAAAGAAAGAGATCTAACCCGGTTGAGTGTCGTATTTAGAAAATATTCGGTACAGAAATGGATTTTCGGTATTGGTAGAATTGGCGTTGTATTCGGGCAAAGTGTGGATGTACTGATACAAACGGCTGTGTTTTCAATGTTTATAAAATAAGCACATATAAATGTTAACGGATAGTTTTTATTCATCCACGAGGTAATCAGTATAAACACATGAATCCTAACCGGTTATTTGATTTTGACTTTTTCTTTAATCGATTATTACGTATTCTTTCCTTCTTTCAAGTGGTGATAAACGGCCCGATTCGAGCAGCTGATCGTTAAATATGGCTACCTCAATATTTTAGCCAGAAAAATGGCGCGAGATTTTGCAATCCTCGGGCTGCAATGCTTTTCCGGCTAAAATATTGAGTTAGCCATTTTTAAAAATCGGCTCAAGTCGAGCCGGTTAACATACTACTTCCTTCTCTTTCTTTCTTTCTTAAATTTATACATTTTCTTCTTTTGTTATTCCAAATTAGTTTTAGATTAGATTTATATACTTATTGGTGGTCACTATAACGAAATATTTGTTGGATTCTTCCATAGTCGAATAGGAATTGGGGATTTTATTGAATTCTATGCCAACCACGCTCGTCTCGCGTTCTTTGGACAGGTTTAAGACCTAGAAATATAAAAAAAAATGTACCATAATATATAATTCGAGTTTAATGGCGGCTAATGGGGGTCTAACAGGTTCCCTGTAATCTGGGTCTAGAATAGGATCACCGTCTCCTCGACCGGGTGTAAAAACCACCTAAAGGCGGTTGATGTCAGAGGAATGGCATCTGATTTTAAAAATCTTGCTACAAAATTTCCTGATTAAATCAGCGGAAAAATTAGCCAACCTGGGGTAAACCTGGAAATAGCCAATAAACGGAGAAGAATTTAGGATATTGGAATGCTGAAGGATTAGTCTATAATTCCAAAGCCAATCCGATACTTTAAAAACCATGATTAGATATCAATTTTTGTTTTATGGGTTTAATAGTATCGCGCCTGGAAGGCATAGTAATGACATGAAAGTTTATATAGTAAAAAAAAACAAGACTATTATCAAAAACAGGAAATAGAAGGACGGAAGTGAAAATGATATATTTTTCACTTCCGTTCTGCTAACCCTAGTGATGGGAGTTATTAAAAGATGCGTTTTCTAATGGATCTAGATACATCGTCTGAAATGGATCTGAATACAGATACAACGTCCAGGAAGATATCTGCTAAATTTAGGATTATTGTTAATATTCAAATTTCGAAGTGAGCTAAAAAAAAAATAAATAAAAATGATTGTTAGATTTTTAATAATAAAACAATTCTCAAAATTTTTATCATTAAGACACCTCACGTCAGGTTATCTCATTTTTAGCCGTAAAATAACTCTTTTCTACCCTGGGTCACTTGACAGGATGGAGTGTTTGTTATATTTAAAATGACTGACAACCTTTCATTTGGGATAATTTATCCATATGTATTAAAATCCCGACACTAATTTTTTTTTTAAAACAAAAAGAACGAATAGAAACTAATCGACATTGGATCGACTTTTACTAATATTGACAAATATCGGATAAAAATGAATGAATGAATGCACCCTTCGTTTCCAAGGGTGTAAATAATAAATTAAAATGGCCACCTTTTTTGTATACGCATTTTTTTTTAAATGTTATAAAAATATGAAAAAGCGAAACCATTTTTGAATACAGTTCCAAGGATTGCTGAAACAATTGGCGTTCTTCACTTTGGCACAAATTGGTTTCTATGATTGTCCCTTGATTGTTCATTAAAAAAAAATAAGATTTAAAATACATTTTGCTCGATTAATTACAATTTACGTATTTCTCTTATAAAAATGTAACTTAGGCTAAGATACATTTTCCAGGTTAGCGCCTAACGATCCAAGAAGAAAATTCCCTATTCCTTATTGGCTTACTCATATCGCATTCTTCCCTAAGTTTGCTTGGATCTCCCAAGGCCCCTCGTGGAGCTATTGATCCATAGACCAGTCGTTCTATTATTTAAAAGTTTCATCATATTGGAGTCTTAAGATGGACAGATCTAATTTCTCTATCAGGTGGGACCAATGACATATAATAACACCTAGACTGACGATGCCATTCATAATAATGCCTTTGAAAGCGTCGTTGGATGCAAATCAGCTGGAGCCGCCATTTTGGTAATCCCGTATAGTAATTACTCTCACGATAAAAACTACTATTAAATCGATAACTTGCTTCCTTATCGTCTCGACGATCAGGCAAATTCTTTAATCAAGTTCGCGTAATTGGCCTCTCGTTTAATATTTTTAATAAATGATATAGGTAATCAAAATGGCGTCCCCCAGCTGTTTATCATCGATGTACACTTTTAATGAAGGCATAGTCAGTCTAGGTATTATTACAATGTCATTGGGTCGGACAAAGGAACATTCTAGTGATGAGTAAGGTAATTCGATCTTTTCACAAATCACATGTTTTTTTTTGAAATATAGATATTGATCAATTGGATTAAATGATAAAACCAATGACATATATAATACCTAGACTGACGATTCATTCGTTAAAAGTGTACATCAATGCAAATCAGCTGGAGATGCCATCTTGCTTACACTAATCATTATTAAAATTTTTAACGAGAGCCTAATTTATTCCTATATCTGATGCAAACTTTATTAAAGAATTACCTGATCATCGAGATAATAAGGAAGCAAGATATCTATTTTAATAATAGTTTGTAACATGAGAATAATTATCATATGGGTTACCAAAATGGCGTGTCCAGCTGATTTGCATTTCAACGACGCTTAAAAATGCATTTTAATGAATGAATGAATCGTCAGTCTAGATATTATATATGTCATTGGATAAAACAGCTGGTTTACTCATTCTGCCACAAATGAGAGGAAAAAAAAATGTGGACTAGGACAATAGAGAGAACGCTCTAATAGTTATAGAAAGGAACGGACTACATAAAAGGAACGCGCCTAAATCTATAAAGTCCTATAACCAGGAAAATCGTATGCGGAATAAAAAAATTAATATATTAGTATACCCTAACCCCCTTAGAAAATGGTTAGGAATCAGATTGGAGGTAAAGAATCCTACCCTGTCAGGGTCTAATATACATTTAAAAAAATGGGAGATTCTATTTCAATATCTCTGGTAGCTTGCCACGAGGCTTATAATTTGAAATGTATCACGTGCAATGTAATATGAGTATTCCTGGTTTGGGGTTCTAAATAATTTAGGTGTGATAAGTGATTATACCCTTGGAAGTGCCCAGCAAGATGGGTCCGGTCTGAGATTTATTGGGAATGTTGATACATTTATTCCAAGCAACGCACGTGATTGTATTCCCCTTTTAAAAAAAAAAGAAGAAATTAATATTTTTATTGAGAGATCCTGCAGAGGTACACCATATGCGCGGCCCGGACCGGATTTTATATTTTCAGGCCCGGATTCTTAGCTAAAAAATCAAGGGCCGGGTCGGGTTCAAAAACCGAGCCGGGTTTAAAACCGGGCCGGGTTTAAATCTGGGCCTGCAGGTCTCCGATTTTTTGTTTGATTTATTTTACACAATAAATTTTTTTTTAAAAAGTATATAACTTTGATTTTCGATAGGCTGCGCAATTTCTTGGAGTTCTTGTGCAGGTAAAGGGTATCACCGGTGGTCACCGAAACTATGGCGTGAGTGGCGGATGGGTTGAGATGCACGGAATCAATGATGCAACCCTGGTCCACCGAAAAGGATGTCATATTGCTAAACGGGGAATTTTTGATCACATCAATTTCTTAATTATATTTTGATGAATAATTTTATCAGAGTATTTTATTTGCTAGATTTAAACATTTTTTTTAAAAAAAAACTGTTGGGTGAAGATAATGTTTAATTTAACAATGATGTATATTCCAGAATTGTTAAAAGATACTATTTAAATGGATCTAGATACAGATACATCGTCTAAAATAATATCTAGATACAGATATTTTAATCAAAAATCTATCTAGATCCTCTAAAAACTCTGATATTAATTTTAAAAAAATACATGATGGGTAAGGCTTTAATTTAAATAGTTTAAGTGTGTTAATTTATATAAATATATTTTGGTTTTTTTTTGTTAACTTCTTTAGAAATGATAAGGGAAAATGTAAATTATTTTTTAAAAAAATATTAAACATCAGGCACATAATCAATGGCGGAGAATTCATGGAAAACCCGTAAATCCCCTCTGGCAAAATTTTTGCTATACAATTTTCAAAGCAGTTTCAAACAAAAATAATAAAATAATAAAAATGACAGGGAAAAGTGTCAGAAATTTTCTTACGAACTAATAGACTATAAAATTTTGACAATTTCTATTACCCTAATTCTAACGCGAAAGAATGATAAAATAATATTGAATGTTCCCGCTCCGCCCCCGCCCCGCCGCGTACACGCCGCCTTGCAGTATATTGTGTTCGTTATTTATAATAATATAGGATATAAAGGATATCGGAAATTCGTCAATAATTTAGGGTAGGAATTAGCTCCAGTATACAACTACGATGCTTTATATAAGAATTAAACGCGAACAAGGATTTAATTAGTAAAACAAAACATGTGTTCAAAAGTAAATTACATCGAACGCGATGCGTTAGCGATTATTTTTGCAATGAAAAGGTTTCAAAGTATCTAACCGGAAAAAAAATTACAATCATCACCGATCACAAGCCTTTGATCTACATTTTTTTTCCCTAAGATTTCAAAGAAAACTCATCCATGTCGATGAGGTTGCAGAGGTGGAACATTGCAATGGGAGCACTTAGGACTTCGAAATAAGAACATAGAGCGGGTAAACACCAACACGGTACCAGATTGCCATTGACACCTTCAGGAGAAGCAATAGACATTGTGGATGATACAAAAGAAAATAATGATTTATGGGACGTACCATTTTAACTTTAAAATGATATCGAAAAATAAAACTTCTAACGACAGAGAATTGATGGAAATAATAAACGACATTAGAAAACGGTGACAGAAAATTTTGAGAAAGTCTATATACTATACAACATTTACACGAAGGACACTTGGGTGCCGGCAAAACCAAATTTTTAGCTGAAGATTACCTTTGGGTGGCCTGGAATTAACAATGATATTGATAACAAAATAAAAGAATGCAAATCATGTAACATTATTAGATTTTAATCGTAATCTAACTTGAGTTTTTATGACAGGTTTATTACTTAATTTTGACTTGCAATTAGGTATCAACTTCGCCAACTCGTCTTTATGATCCATATCCATGCCTATGAATCTTTCAGGTATATTCTTAAAATTTTTTTAACCGTGATCTTCCTAGTAAAGGAATCTTGTTACTCTTTACGATTAATGCATCCAAAATCTGAGAATCCCCTTCGTATTCTACGTTCACTCGTGCTGTGCCTATCACTTGTATCGTCTTGCTAACCTGATAACTGTAAGCTGAACTTCGTAATACGACTGGTATCCCTCCAAGAAAATTTATGTTCAATCATGATACGAGAACTAATTGGGATTTATTAGAGTATAAAAAAGACAATGACAACATTTTGCTCACAGCTTTACCAAAAAATAGAACTATGAATGTTGGAGAAAAAATTAGGTACAAAACTTTTGGAGTAAATAATTAAAAAGAAAGTAACATGCTATATCAAATTCACACAAAAAATGGTGTATGGAGGCACTTAGACCAACTTAAAAAAAAGATTTACCACTGACAAAATATTCATGCATGAACCAAACACTTCACATTTTACAAAAAGGAGAAATGTTATTGACCAAGAAAAAGATTGTCTAGCTGACGGTACGAGGCCTAGTCGAAAAAGAACATTACTCACATGATAACAAGATTTATTTGGAATATATAAGATTCACGTCCAAGAAGAACTTGATTGGAGTTTACTTTTTAAAGGGTGGGATACAGATATCCTGATTGATTTTTTTTTAATATTTCTTTTTTGCTATCTAATTTTATAATATTAACTTTAATAGTTTGATTTAAAATGATTTTATATTAACCCATTATGTAAACTATATAAATTGATTTTTGTAAACTATATAAAGATGAAAATATACTAAATTTTTAGTATAAAATAATATTTTAAATAAATAAAAATAAAATGTTAAAATACTTTCCTAATTTTGTTTTTCTCTTTGCCTACCTTAAAAGTAATAATTTTAGAAATAAAGGTTTAAAAAAAAGTCATCTCTAAAATAATGACTATAATTTAAATTTTTCGAAAAAATAGCATTTTAAAGATAAAAAGATGAACCCAATATAATGCGCTAAAAATATAACCCATCAAAGGCAGGAAAAAATGAATGCCTTATCCCTCCAATAAATTCAAAGACCATTCAAAAATCCTCTCCTATGTTTAAGGATTTTAAAAATTTTTAAACCAACAAATTATAACTATTTTATCTGAAATTTATAAAATAAATTAAATCAATAATTTTAGCAAATATATAATAATAATATTTTTTCTGATCATATGAAAAAAAGTAACAAAATATTTTTTTTACTTTATTTTAAACAATAATTATTACATTCCTTGCACTATTCATATTTATCACAAATAAGTGCAAAAAATAAACCTAATCTTGAAAAAAAATAGTTAATAGATACATTTTTTATGAAAATACAATAACTTTGTAACTAAAATACCTTCATGCTTTTCAGGGAATTTGAGGTTGATTCTCAATAAAACATTATATTCCAATCCAAGTATCACAATATTATTACTAACACACATTGCTACTATCTTACATTTTGGCCTAAAATGAAAGTTATGCAATGCTTACTAGAATATATCAAATTTTTAACTTAAAATTAATTCTATGTTTCACAAATATTGGCTCTTCTTTGTGTATTGTGGCAGATATCAGGCTTGAATTTGATTTAAGCATAAAAAATTTTGCTTTCAAAATTTATCTTAAATCATATGGTAGTTAAAAATTAAGCTTTATAAAGAAAATAATGACTGACATTTTAAATGTTTTGATAAGAAAAATTATGATTGAATGGGATAAATGTTTGGATCTGAATACTTAGCAGATAGAATAATTTATAATTCCCATTTAATTATTCTTAATTAAATAAAACTAATCATAAAAATTTTAATCATTTACTAATAAGTATATTATGTACATTATTTTATTTGTATTCAAACTGAGTAGCTTCCAATATCTATTCAAATAATCGACAATGCGTCTTTCGATAAGCAGGGAAAACTTAAACAAATATTATTCATATGTATGTAAAAACTAATTGATCCAAAAATATTTTGAAAACCGCCTAGAGGCCTTTCTCTTATTCCATGAAATATATATTGAGGCAAGTAGCTTCTACCTCACTATTCCCCCTAATCCACCATGCAAAAAAATTTGCTTAAATCTAAATTTCTAACTTGCTGCACTTCTGTAATGTTCGTAACCTATGAATCACTACCTGCCATTTAAAATATTATAATTTTATTTGTCTCATATTATAAATATTGTACTCAGCGGTTATAGGCGTCTAATGTGAGCTGTTTGCTTCCAAATTTTTTGAAGGGAGTAAGCTATTAAGGCTATATGGGCATGCATCTAAGAGGGGAAGAGGATTATTGTTGTTAAACGGCTCGTTTTGAGATGATTTTTAAAAACGGCTAACTCAATATTTCATCCAAAATAATATTACACAAGCCTGAAGATTTTTTTGTGTAAAAGGAAGAAAGGTTTTTGGAAATCTATTAGCGATATCATGAGGATTAGGCAATATTTTTCTGGCTAAAATATTGAGTTAACCGTTTTTAAAAATTGGCTCAAACCGAGCACAACACTAAAAGCGTACATCAATGAAAAACAGCTGGGGACGTCATTTTTGTTACCCGTATCATTATTAAAAAATTTTAACGAGAGGCCAATTTATCCTATGTTCTGACTAAAGAATTTCCAAGATCATCGAGATAATATAATGAAGTAAGTTATCAATTTAATAGTAGTTTTTAACCAGAGTTGTTAAATAGCGCGCAAACTTTTTTGGTAGCTATAGCTAATAGCGGCTACTTTTTTTGTATTTATTTAATTTTTTAGCGTGTAACTTTTTTGAAAGTAGCTAAGTAGCCGCTACCTAGCTACTTTAAAAAAATATAATGAAGGTAAGTATAAACATATAAAATTTAAATATAATATCATAATTAATTATAATTTTTATGATTTATTATTTAATTTTGAAATTTATTTTCAATTTGTAATTTTGTATTATAAAACTAAATCATGTGTTAATAATTTAAAATGTCATCGCCTATGGATATTCAAATCGTTGAAAGTGATTCAGACAATGATATTAATTAAATGGAAGATACCATGGAATAAATAATTTTTAATAGAACTGGATTCAAATTTATTTGTTTAAAATGTAAAAAAAATATTTCCTCAATTCAATCCAGTAGCTATAACCTCAAGAAACACCTAAAGGTAAATTGTCATTTTTAAATTCTAATAATATTTATTTTATAAGACAGTTCATGAGTTTTAAGGAAATGGAGAAACATCTAAACAATTTTGGTATAGGCGACTCTACATCCAAAAAGGCTAATTCAATTCAAACCAAATTAATTAATAATGCAAATGACAATATTTCTCAGAAATTGGCTGATAAAGTTATTGTTAATTTTATAATTTATACAGTTCAGCCAATGTCTTTGGTTGAAAATCCATCATTTACCATGATGATTAAAACTCTATCCCCTGGTACAACAATTTTATACCGCCAGACACTAATGAATAAAATAGCAACATAATGATGAAAGATGCTCTAATAGTAGAGTTATCAGAGATATCATATATATATGTACCACGGAAGATAGTTGGACATATAACAGAAGGTAAAAACTTATTTATTTATAAATAGATCTGATTAAATATTTTTGAGCATATTTGGGAAAAACAGGCCATTGGCTACCATCTAGGACTTTAAAAAAAAAGATCTGTGCCATTAGACCTCAAAATAATAATAGGATGCCAGACATAAGATGTACTTGCAAATAAAATTATTGATAATCTATCTTATATTAAAAATATGTAAATAAGATTAAATACGCCCTTATCCTCAAGTTGTCGAGAGATTATTTAGTAAGGCAAAACTTATACTTTCCGTCGCTCTAGACTTGGGGATGATAATATTGAAATGATTTTATTATTAAAATGCAACAAATTACCATAAATATTTATTTTTATTACATAAATTTTTTTATAAACAAAACTAACTATATTTTAATATTTATATAAATGTTGATTTTTATATATTTACTATACAATAACATTATAAGGAAAAAATAAAAAATTTGTTCGTAAATTTTTTTTTATAAATAGTAGCTAATAGCGAGCTCCCTTTTTTGACAAATAGCGATAGCGCGCTACTTTTAAAAGTAGCGTTTAACAACTCTGTTTTTAACATGAGAATAATTACCTATACATGGGTTACCAAAATGGCGGGTACAGCTGATTTTTATTCAATAACGCTTTCAAGTGCATTAATATGAATGCGTTGTCAGTCTAGGTATTATTATATGTCATATGCGCACATTAGATAACCTTAATTCCTAAATTAGGATTAAAAAAATTCGTAGCAAACACCGTCGAGGTACGACAGGCAAAATAGATTTTTTTTTAAAAACATAATTTTTACACCTAACCATCGTTTATTATTGTTTTTTTTTTACCAAAAAATTGAATAATCCATTTAATATTTGTCTCGGATTTTACGTTCCTTTCCTTATTAAAAATATTTAATTTGATAAAATCAAGTTAAAAATTTCAAAAAAAAAATATTTATAGGTGAAAAATAACATGTTGAATGAAAAATAATACACTGGTTCGGTTAGAATTTTTGCAGTTTACCAAATTCCTAAAAATCATTAAATCCCTTATATCGATTGGCAAAGGCAAGGGAAGAGAGGGGTGGGAGTTGATTGTTTTTTTATATGCTTTGTGCCCATCCTAGTTATGCTGACGATGTATATACTTAAGAAGAGGAATTGATCTTTCTTTCTTCCAGGCATTGGATCTGTTAGATGTATGACATATGCTTTAGAAAATGAAACTAGATCTTTCATTCTCGCTCAGGCATCTGAATATAATCGTAAAATTTTGCATTTCAAATAAACGGGTCCGGTTATATTTTAATAAATAAATAAAATTCGACACAAATTCCATTTTTTCTAAAGATTTCTAATGGTGCAGACTTCAAGAATATAATTTTTAAGTCAATTTATTGATATTTAAATTTAAAAAAATATATTCTTGAAGTCTGCACCATTAGAAATCTTTAGAAATTTCATGGTGGCAGCGGTGGGATACTATACCTTGATCCGGTATCAATCTGCATCAAAATAGGCATGTCGTTAAAATATACCGTGACCTTATAAGCATCGTTAGCTGTGTAATTATTATCGGCATCCATATTGTTTGTCTAAATTGTATAAATTATATTCTTTTCTTTCTAGTTTGTCATTATCATCTTCTTTTATCTCTTCTATATTTACAGTGTTTACTTTATTTGTATATCGTGATTGATTATTGTCGTTGTTATGATATTTACAATTGCACATTTGACTTGTTCCTCGATTTCCAAAATTATGATTATCGTTATATCTTTGAATACATCTTGAATCGTTATAATGTCTGTTATATCTGTAATTATAATCATTATTAAATCTATTATTATTATAGTCATTTTTATTATAACTAGCTCTATTATCATATCTCGAAGAATTATTGTATAATCCTGGGTAATTTGCCCTAACGTTATTGTAGTTACCCGCATTATAGTTCTGATGTCTAGGTTGTAATTATTTCCCTGATAATTATTTCTTTGAAAGTTGTTGTTTCTCGTAGTCCATAGTTGTCTGTTATCGTTATCCGATCGTGGATTATGTCTATCGTCGTATCTGACCACCTGTTTGTTTTCTTCAACTTTCATGCCTCTTTGTTTTTCCAAATGTTTTACGCTTGTTTCTTCTTCAGTCTTTTCACTTAAAGAAATGTTTTCAACTTTAGCTATTATATTTTCTTTTAATTCTGTCTCCTCAAAATCATCTCTTAAACTAAAGACTTCTGCTAACGTAATATTCTCTTTCAACGTAATTTTCTGCCTGATACTTCTGCTATTTGATGAATATTTTATTTTTTTAATGACTCTACTATCGCTTAACGAACATTCATTTTGTAAAATACATAATCTACTTACCCAATTGATGTAACTTACATTTTTACCTAGTACAGCTGCATTGAATAATAACAATTTCAAACTTGTAGATTTCCTCGGGTGTAATAACCTAAATTTTTCAATCAATATCGATGGATTGATGAAATCGGTAGGTGAACATATCGTTTTGAGCTTGATGTATTCTTCGTCTGGTAGTCTTCTTGTGAAGGATCCTGCTTTTTCGATATCAGAGATCTGAGCATCGTTGAATATGTCTTCGAAACGACTTAGAAAAACATCGCCATTACCTGTGTATGTTGGAAATTCAATATTAATATTAACGTTATTATTTGAGATCTGTTTCATAATTTATAATTTACAATATCCTTGAATTTTTCTATTTTATAGTATTGGATTTTATAAAAAATTTTAAGAAGTTAATTTATATTTAATATTTTAGAAAATTTTAATTTAGGATACGCTGCCACCATGACACTCATGTATTTTATCTTAACTTTAAAAAATTGTTTTTTACATCCTTAAGCTATTTATGGCGTAACTTAAAATATTTCAAATGTAATAAGAATTGTTTTTTTCTTTTTGTTAAAAACAACTTTTATATTTTAAAAAATCAATTTGCTTATAAACTAAAATTTTATATTTTATATTATATAAATCAATTTACTTAAAAAACGAATGTTCAATTTTATATTTTAACTTTAAAAAGATCAATTTGATATAAACGACATTCAAATTATATTTTTTTAAATTCAAATATCAATAAATTGACTTAAAACTTATATTCTTGAAGTCTGCACCATTGGAAAAAATTAGAAATTTCATGGTGGCAGCGTATCCTAAATTAAAATTTTCTAAAATATTAAATATAAATTAACTTCTTAAAATTTTTATAAAACCCAATACTATAAAATAGAAAAATTCAAGGATATTGTAAATTATAAATTATGAAATAGACCTCAAATAATAACGTTAATATTAATATTGAATTTCCAACATACACAGGTAATGGCGATGTTTTTCTAAGTCGTTTCGAAGACATATTCAACGATGCTCAGATCTCTGATATCGAAAAAGCAGGATCCTTCACAAGACTACCAGACGAAGAATACATCAAGCTCAAATCGATATGTTCACCTACCGATTTCATCAATCCATCGATATTGATTGAAAATTTTAGGTTATTACACCCGAGGAAATCTACAAGTTCGAAATTGTTATTATTCAATGCAGCAAAGTTACATCAATTGGGTAAGTAGATTATGTATTTTACAAAATGAATGTTCGTTAAGCGATATTAGAGTCATTGAAAAAGTAAAAATTTCATCAAATAGCAGAAGTATCAGGCAGAAAATTACGTTGAAAGAGAATATTACGTTAGCAGAAGTCTTTAGTTTAAGAGATGATTTTGAGGAGACAGAATTAAAAGAAAATATAATAGCTAAAGTTGAAAACATTTCTTTAAGTGAAAAGACTGAAGAAGAAACAAGCGTAAAACATTTGGAAAAACAAAGAGGCATGAAAGTTGAAGAAAACAAACAGGTGGTCAGATACGACGATAGACATAATCCACGATCGAATAACGATAACAGACAACTATGGACTACGAGAAACAACAACTTTCAAAGAAATAATTATCAGGGAAATAATTACAACCCTAGACATCAGAACTATAATGCGGGTAACTACAATAACGTTAGGGCAAATTACCCAGGATTATACAATAATTCTTCGAGATATGATAATAGAGCTAGTTATAATAAAAATGACTATAATAATAATAGATTTAATAATGATTATAATTACAGATATAGCAGACATTATAACGATTCAAGATGTATTCAAAGATATAACGATAATCATAATATTGGAAATCGAGGAACAAGTCAAATGTGCAATTGTAAATATCATAACAACGACAATAATCAATCACGATATACAAATAAAGTAAACACTGTAAATATAGAAGAGATAAAAGAAGATGATAATGACAAACTAGAAAGAAAAGAATATAATTTATACAATTTAGACATAAACAATATGGATGCCGATAATAATTACACAGCTAACGATGCTTATAAGGTCATGGTATATTTGAACGACATGCCTATTTTGATGCAGATTGATACCGGATCAAGGTATAGTATCCTACCGATGTATGTTGCAAAAGAGATTGGTATCAAAATATTAAATAAATCAGACACAAAATTAACTGGTTATGATGGGAGAACAATAAAGGTGTTAGGAACTGTCCAAGTAAAGGCGAAGTTCGAAGACAAAACCCAAACATTAGATGCTTATGTTGTCCAGAGTGACAAGGTTCCACTTTTGGGTAGGACATGGATAGCAGTCTTTAGAAATATACTAGATAGATTTGTAAACTTAGTCGAAGAAGATTATGACAATACTATTCAAGAACTGATCAAACAATGCGAGTCAAAACTTAGCAAGAAACCAATACTACGCAATTATGTCAAACTACATCTAAAACAAGGTGCTACACCGAAAATCATACCTCCCAGGCGTGTACCTTATTCAAGAATTGACTTGGTTACAAAAGAACTACAGAAGTGGATAAGCGACAAAATAATCGAACCTGTTGAAATGGGCCTCCTCTCACTCCTGTTGTCAAGAGCGATGGTTCACTTCGGCTATGTGCTGACTTCAAGAATACTATTTGCGTTAGAGGATTTCAAGTACCCAATTCCACGCATCAATGACCTTATAGCAAAGTTATCGAAAGGCAAGAAATTTACAAAGATCGACTTTAAAAATGCATTTCTTCAAGTTCCAATACACAAAGAATCAAGAGATTTTCTCACTATTTCAGGTTTACAAGACTTCCGTTTGGATTAAAAACTTCGTCAGCAATATTTCAACAAACTATGGACAATATTTTCGGGAACATGAAAGACGTCGTGTTTTATATTGATGACTTATTGATTACTGGGGAGGACGATGAAACTCACGTGAACAACATAAAAATGGTATTTGACAAAATATCAAAGTATGGGCTTACACCAAACTTCACAAAAAGTATATTTTTGAAGAAAAAACTACGGTTTCTAGGTCACGATATAGACGACAATGGAATCCATCCGAACGCAGATAAAATAAAGGCTATTTCTAATATGCTTGGGTTGGCAACTTTTTTGGGGATGGCGAGCTATTATCGAAAATTTCTGTGCAATTTTGCTGACATCGCCGATCCCTTATACAAAATAGTAAATAAAGACAAGTGGTCATGGGATAGTACACATCAAGAAAGCTTTGATTACCTAAAAAAACTCATAAGCAGTCCGCCTACGTTAAATTTTTATAACCCGGATCTACCAGTGGGCATTGCAACTGATGCTTCAAAGAAAGGTTTAGGCGCAGTCTTATTTCATATTGAGGGTGATGGCAAAGAAAAACCCATCGCTTTCGCGTCAAGAGCACTATTGAAATCAGAGTTAAATTATACCAATATCGAAAGAGAAGCTTTGTCGGTAATTTACGCGGTTAAAAAATTCCAGGAGTATTTAATAGGCACAAGATTTGTAGTAATTACCGACCACAAGCCACTCGTGTATATATTTACGAAGGGACTCAAGGACAATTCTTCCATATCAATGCGACTCCAAAAATGGAACTTGGCTATGGGAGCGCATGACTTTAGGATAGTTCACAGACCCAGGAAACGAAATATTGTACCAGACTGTTTGTCCAGATTACCACTAATGAATACAGAAGAGATGGTACAAAAGTTAGATGACGAAATAATTGATGACAATTTTTGAGACACACCAATAAATTTTGAAAGAATAGTTAAAGAAACTAATATTGATCAAGAACTAATGGAAGTAATCAACGATATAAGGAATCATGAGCAGATAAAGAACAAAACGTGAGTTTAATCAAAGGTTGCCTTTTTAAAGAGAATAGGATCATAATACCGAAAGGTATGAGAAAAGAGATTTTGCAAGAGTTGCATAATGGGCATCTCGGTGCTGGAAAAACAAAATCATTAGCGAGAGAGTATCTGTGGTGGCCTGGTTTAAATGCAGAAATAGATCAGGAGGTAAAGAATTGCGATGCTTGCAATAAATACGCAGACAATCCTCATAATATTCAAAACCCATGGGAAACAGCAACGAAAGTATTCGAGCGCATACACATAGACTTTGCAGAGTTCAAAGATAATAATTTTATGGTGTGTTGACGCCTTCAGCAAATTTCCTATTATAAGGAGAATGAGAAACACAACTAAGGAATCAACGATTAAAGAATTAATGAAAATAATATGTTTATTTGGTATACCTAATAGAATAGTCAGTGATAATGGAACTAACTTTACCAGTAAATTATTTAAGAAATTTTGCGAAGATCACGAAATCCACTTACTCACCGCACCTCACCACCAACAGTCCAATGGGAGCGTATGATTAGATCAATGAAAATAAAAAGGAATATGGAAAATAATAATAAAATTGACGTAGACATAGCTTTAGAAAAGTTTCTTTTTAATTATCGTAATACACCCAACGCAACGACCAACAAAATACCAAGCGAAGTAATGTTCTCCAGAATGATTAGGACAAAATGGGAGTTGATAAAACCGAGGGATGAAAGAGATCATATACTAAATCGCAAGATATCAATAGATAGGGATATAGAAATAGGAGACAGCATATGGTATAAAACTTTTAAGGATAATAATTGGGAAAAAGGTACAATAATGCGCAAAAACGGAAATTTGTTGTATGAGATAGATACTGGGAACAAAATTATAAAAAGACACTTGGACCAAATAAAAAAAAGATCAACTAATGTTAAACCTTCTTCTAATGGTGCAACAGTTTTTAAAGCGAATGTTAATAATAATGCATCACCTTATACATTGAATTTTAGAAGGGGAGGTGATCAACGAAGAAACCAAAATGTACAAGTGAATGATCAGAATCGCAACGTTCAAAGACCAGTTAGAAATAGTGTGTTGCCTAGAAAATTTTATATAATGAATTAAATTTGATAATAAATTTTTTTTCTCTTCCTTATATTAAAACAAAATTAGTTTTTTTTGTGTGTGGAACTAAATTGATAAAACGTACAACAAAAAAAAGATCAACGAAGGGGTTAACGAGCAAGAATGACAAACGACAACAATTATAGACAGAGGGCAAATAAGAAATTTAAAAAAAAAGTGTGAAATGTTAAACAGTGACACTCATGTATTTTATCTTAACTTTAAAAAATTGTTTTTTTTTACATCCTTAAGCTATTTATGGCGTAACTTAAAATATTTCAAATATAATAAGAATTGTTTCTTTCTTTTTGTTAAAAACAACTTTTATATTTTAAAAAATCAATTTGCTTATAAACTAATATTAAATTTTATATTTGATAAATCAATTTACTTAAAAAACGAGTGTTCAATTTTATATTTTAACTTTAAAAAGATCAATTTATTAAAAATACATTAAATTAAATTGTCAATATATATAGGAAACTATTTTGAGTTATGTGATCATTATATTTTTTAAATTTAAATATCAATAAATTGACTTAAAACTTATATTCTTGAAGTCTGCACCATTAGAAAAAATTAGAAATTTCAATAAAAATACACATTATACATTCATACTTTCGTCCAAACAATAAAAAAAATTTCGAGACATGGGTTGAAATAATAATAATTACTATTACAAACGAAATATTTTACAGTGTAAGTTACTTCTTTATAAATTTATTAACGTAATTCGTCATTTATTTTTAACACCCTAATCGTTATCTATCATTATAAATTATGACATTTACATCAAAATTTGTAATCCCAGAGGAGACTAATTTTTTTTAAAGGGGGGGGGGGAAGGGAAGTGGGTTCTAGTTTTTATATTTGATTCGATTATGATTTAGGTTCTGGACTTAAATTCTGATTTCTGGATCATGTAATATTTAAGGATCTTCCTATTTTGCAATTGATGCCAATCAATATCGTTTTCTAGAATTATATATTGGAAAATGATTGGCGTTACTGAGAGAATATACAAAAGAATTTTTTTACCAAGATATTTAAATAAATTAAGAACTCCCGCTTAAATTATATTTGAGATATTAAAAATTTAATAAAAAAAGAGATATCGCTGTTCTTTGTCACCATTCGCGGGTTTAAAATTTGTCAAATGAGTTCCTCGTTAAGCGACAGGTAATATAATAATTCTTGCGGTCCTGGGAGAAAAATTATTTGACGATTGCTGCCGAAAAAATTAGTAACGGGAACCTTTTTGAGTTCGGTCGGATATAGATCGGTTCTATTGCCAACAGTTGAACCGCATTTTCGCTTCGGACATGCTTTAAACTCGAATATTATTTAAATCGTTCTTTCGTTATTGGAATACCAAATTAAAAGCAAAAATATCTATTTATCTTTCTTTCTTTCGCGAAAAGAAAAGAAAGATTTAGAGAAAATAGAAAAAGAAAAAATCTTATATTTTTATTTAATATTTCAAAAAAAACAGAATTAAAATTTCATTTTTTAAAAAAAAAATTAATTAATTAAATATAAAAATTCACAATTCTTTATTCGGTATCTTTACTTAACCTAACCCTAAGAAGGTAATTATATATATATAAAAAAAATTCTTTTTTTTACTAATTGATGCATCGTGGCCTTAGAATTGGGTTCAACTTTCTCGAGGAATTGAAGAATGTAATAAGTAAAACGATCGATAACGTAAACGCCTATAGATGAATCTATATGATGCTTTACATTTTGTGCATATATATTTACATTTAAAAATATATAAATCGCGATTAGTGTTGTTAAACTGCTCGTTTTGAGCCTATTTCTTAAAAACGGCTAACTCAATATTTAATCCAGAAAAAATATTACGCAAGACTGAAGATTTTCGCTCATAGAAGAGGAACGAAGGTTTAGACGTATCTTATCGAAACCTCGAGGCGGCCTTAGGCAATATTATTCTAGCTAAAATATGCCGTTTAACAACACTAATCGCAATATTTAAAAGTGCCTTGAACGTTACTTGAAAGAGCAAAGGGTGTTACATTTTAAGTTACTTGCTATTCCATTAAAAAAAACGATACTAAAGATTATACCAGATACAAAATCCGGTATCAAAGATTCTTTATTTAGATCGGGCCGGTTCTTTAAAAAATGTCGGGTTTTAATCGGCTCTTTTTTTATGTTTAATTTTAAAAATAATTAAGATTTATAAGTCACAATGTGTTTTTTTCAAAAAAAATAATATAATAATCAGCTGTGAATTGCCGGTTAGTGGTCATATTAAATCATAAATAAGCTTTTGTAAGGTCAATAATAAAAATGTGTCGTTATTCGATTCGAAGTTTATGATACGAATATCGAATTATTCGATGTTTTTTCGGAGGGGTATAAGCAAATATTTTTACAAAAAAAAAGATAAATATTTGAATATAATATTTTTTACGGATAAGGAATCTTCTCCAACAAGACTACTCGCAAATCCCAGAATATTCTCAGAATAAAAATGCTTGAACATAGAGGTTGCTTGGCATGTGTCAATCATGAAAAATAATTCGTTGTATCTATAAATTTTAAAAAAAAGTAGACAATATTGACACTCTATATCTATTTTTTGCTTCATCTATAAAGTAATCAATTAAAAAAACTCATAAAATAAAGTTATTAATATTCCTGGTGGGTTTCAAAGACGTTTAGATCAGCCTGCCTCTAAAAGATGGAGTAAAGAAGCGTCCCATCCCTAAGGCTCAATAATAAGATTGGCAAAATAGATAATGATATCGCCTAGAAAGTTTTAGTACACTACATCCGAAAGAACTCGATGTGATATTTAACAAAAATATTGCTGCACCAGAATCTTCATTCTTGGAGGATGCCCCCAATAATTGAGAAAACCCCTGATGTCATTTTTCAAGTCAATCATTATTAATGAGCGGTGTTGTAACGAGTATAATTATATAAAACTTTCTGATACTAATTCTAATTTACTGTTCATAGAGGATGATCCGCCATGCCAATTTCCGTGATCTACACAGCGGATCTTCATTTTGGAGTCCTTCTATCCTTAACAATTTCAACAATTTTAATGACTAAAAGTCCTTTTTATCAAATAAATACCGCCGTCGAGGTAGACAAGGTAGTTTTTTTTTTACAGTTGATATCATTTGAATTAATACTATATCAAGTTAGGTATTACAAAATAATATGCATAATTTTGCAAATGATATCCTAAATGGCATTGTTCTTAGCTCGTGGAGAGTAAAGATGTAAAGATATTTTTGGTAGAATTGCACTGACCGATTATTTATAATGAAGAATTTTTAAAATAACAAAATATCTTTGAGGGTGCCATTTAGCAATAATTAGAGCAGTAGCGATGTTGTTGATTTGGTGATGTTATGCAACGAACAATTTGGTAGGAGAGTGAGAAGAGGAGACGTTTGTCGAGAAGAGGTCAACAGTGACGACGATATATTGTTAAGCGTTATGTGGTTAGCAGGAAATGATAGGGGGGGGGGGTGGATGAGTAATGGATTTTGGAGTGAATGAGAGAAAATTCGTGAAACGAAGCCAGGCCAGAAGAATGGTGACAAAATTAATTTTTTGGGCTGGTGCCAGAATCGATTTTAGTTTATTTTTAAACATGTGACTGTTGCACGCTCAGGCCTGGCCCAGCCTGTCTTGGCTCATATATGTCAGTCATGAGGAGAGGTAAAAATGTGACTAGTTTTATAAGTTCTGAGGAGAGACCGTAGTGCAACGGACTGCAGATGCGTTTTAAAATGTCAAATTTTTCTGAATATTATGAGTATTTGTTTAAAATTAACCTCCTTTTTCCCCGCATCTGTTCGAACGCGTTTGCTATTTCCACGTTAGTTATTTCTTCCGTATCCTGGAACTTTAAAAATCCATCGCCCCCATGTCCTTTTTATTAAAAAAAAACAGATGTTAGATTATAGTTTGTAAATGATATCATGTTATTAGAGTACAAATAGCACCTTTTTTATACAAGAAAATACCTATAGGGTTGGGCCAATATCACCAATAATTTGAATTTTATTGATCGTATGTTCCATGTCAAATCAAACACCTCTCATTCACCGCTGCTCATTTTTTTTTATAATTAAAATCTGTAAGCAAGTCACGTGTCCTAGTTAAAACCGAAATTTCAGAGGATTAGGGAACTAACCCTCTGTCATGTTAAATAGTTAGTCATTAAAAAACTAAATCAGTTCTTGAACCCATAATATTAATAACTGAGTCAATAATTAATAATTATGAGAAAATATAAATATAATCCTTTTTTTTTAATTATGGGTTGTCTAGTGGATAATTTTAAATTAGAATTTCCAAATGAGTAGAAGCTCCAATATATTCTCCTACCGGTTCATCATTTTTCTGATAATTTTTTTGTTTAAAGATATAGCTAAATTATGAAAAACACGCAGATAGAACTATATATGAATTCAATGCAAGAAGCGTTTTTTTTAAAAAAAAAAATATTTAAAACCATTTTAGGATAAATATAATTAATTTGTGAGTAAGGAATTGACTAGTATGCCCAGTTTTACCTCTTTGAATCTGGCATGAACTGGTCATGTTAGCGTCAATATGTTTTTACCGGAAATGGGTTACTTTTTTCAACTGTCCATCATTTTTTTTATGACGCACGTTTTAATTTTTAAAAAATCTGGTTTTAACCGGAAATGTATTCCAGCCAGGTTTAGAATTCCCCATTTTATATAAATCGTGTGCAATTATTTTAACCTATGAGTCATCTATGGGGAAAAAAAACTAATATAAATAAAATTAAGTTCAAAGGTTCGTGACAAAATTGCATGGAATTCATATGGCTAGGTATTCCAAAACATGGCGGAATATTATATCTGGTAGGATCGGATTTTTAAAATTTAAAAAAAAAATCATATTGCCATAAAAATAAACGCGTTATTCAAATAAAAAAAAAGGAAAAATTTGCAAATAAAAAATTAAACACATCTCTAAATAAATATATTTGTTGTATGTCTATCAGAGATCTGTAATGCCAGAAAATTTTCGGTCAGACCAACCCAGAGCCATAAAATTCGATATATTTTCAATTTAATAGAAAATAAATTGTATATGTTTATTTATTTTTATTTGAAGAGTTGCCCAACTAAAAAATAAAAATTAAACGTTATTCATATCATCCATCCAATTTGTAAAAAATGGTTGTTGTAACAACAAAAGAAAAAATAGATGGCCACATAGAAGAGATATTTTTATATTTCATATATTTTTTCAAAAATGTTATAATAATTCAACGTTATTTGAATAATATATTTGTTATACAAATAATATAGTGTATTTATATTTTAATATTATATAAAAGGTCAGTTAAATTGGATAATTGTATATTATATATATATATATATAAAAGAAAGAAGGAAAGGGAAAGAAAGAAAGAAAGAAAGAAAGAAAGGGAAAGAAAAAAAAATTGAGAATAAAAAGTTACCATTGACCATATATATATATATAAGGTTTCTCCAAGTTATAAAAGATATAAGAGCTTTAATTGACATTGGAATAAAAATTAGATATTGATATTAAAAATGTAATGTCCAAAAAAATTTACCAAAAAATAATTTTTATGGGTCCCCTCGAGACAGAACTCTTGTTGTTAAATCATAATGAGCTGAGCCATACAAATTTCCAAAAAACTGTAATGAGTCAGGTAGGTTATAAAAGATTTAATGGACTACGTTGGGCAGCTTAAACTCTTAAAAGACTAAAATGGAGCAGGCCTTAATTATATTCATCCTATGTTAAAAAATTTTTACTAATAATTAGATATATTATTTTTTTAAATTGTATCCAGTAAATCTCTATATGTGAGTATTATCAATTATTCTATAGAACCAATCAATCTCAATATTTAAGATTTGACAGTGGGAGCATTATGAATCATGGTGTTGATTAGGCCTATGTAAAACGAATACGAATCAAATAAAGAATTATTCGTATTCAATTCTTTTGAAGAAAATTGAAAAATTTACTATTCCTAAATATATCACTTGTAATAATGACGCGAATAAGAATGTTAAAGTGTCAGATTAGTTCAAAAGGATAGAATACGATTAATTTATTTGTATTAATTTTTGAATATGTCTCGTCTGCTAATTATTAAAAATATATTTAGTATTTTATACATTATTTACAATAGTTTTTGAGAAAATTAAGCAACCACAGAGCTTCTATTCATTTTCAGAATCTAATTTTAAACTTTCTACTAGACATAAGATGACAATGTAAGGAAAATTTTTGCTTTTTTACCCCATAATTATTAATTATTGACTTAGAAACATAAAACTTAATATTAAAATTGGCAGTTTTTAATAAATAATTATTTATTTAACACTGAAAAGAGTTTTAAAAAATGAGTTAATTTTTGTAATAAAAGTTAAAATTTTCTTTTTATTAAAACTAGAACACACACATGATTTTCACATAGAATTTCATTGAAATTAAAAAGAGTCACCTAAAAATATCATATTTCTTGCTCATTTGTCATGGAATGACATTCATTGATACCAACCATATTAGCTTAATACCTGTATATTGAGTATCAGTATTTCTATATAATATTAATAACTTTGAAATTATAAAATTGATATTATATATAATAAAAATATTTTTATATCCACACAATTTGTATTTTTAATGGTATATTAATTGTAGTTAATGTTGAAATAATTGTAAATATATAATAAAACGAATGTAATGTATTAAATTAGTCATTGAAAAATACCTGTCATATATAATAAGATATTGCTTCCTTCATCAGAGAGCAATTTTTTAGAGTTAGGTGTCCCAGGGAAATGTCTTCCTGTTAAAACTCTTATAAAATTTTCAACAGTCACCTAATTTGTTTTTAATAAAATTTTACCTTTTATAATATAAAATTTTACATCATTGCCTCTGTAATCAATTTCTACATCATCACCATATACATTTATATTTTGATTTTTATGATTATAAACAGTTCCTATATCAATAAATAACATTATTCTATTAAATATTTATATTCAATGATTTTTACCTGGTTTAGGATTGCGAGGATTACAAGCAATATCATCAGCAACCATTAAAATTATATGACTATCAGGTATACCAAGGCGTTTAATACTTCTATATATGGATAACACATTTGCTACATGCCTGTAATTAAACCATGATCTAGATGTCTCTACCAAAACTGCCCAGTTATTTGTATGCCTTTTCTTTTCTTCATTCCAAGCTCGAATATTTTCTTCAAATTTTTTTATTCTAACAGTATCTTTGATATTTTCATTTGTCACTTTAGAAATATATAATATTAACAAGCCCTTAATATATAGTAGAAAAATGAAATAAAAGTTATGTTATTACTAAAATGAGCTTCATTCCTCAAATAAATGAGGTAAGCCCAATAAGGGGTGCAAAATAATAAATATCGAGCTACTACTCAACTAACCAAATCCTGTATACATCGGTGAGCACGTAATTCTTTCGTGGAATCACAAATCATTTCATTTAATATAACTGTAAACAATCCGAAAAACTTTTCAAATTGGAAAAATCTCTATTAAACTGTACCAATTTCACCATTAAAATACCTAACAATAAAAATATATAATTATCCAAACGTATTAAAACTTCAATCTCTTCAGTCCAGATAACATAACAGCCTCCACAAACACTCTTAACAATCTACTTCACAGCCTATTGCCAGTAGTGTCAAAATAGTTTCAAATAAAAAAAATACCCTTAACATAAACTCAGTTCTTCGTGCTATGATTTCTGAAGACTCCTTAGTTCCCAACAAAGACTTCACACAATAAGCTTTGTTACAGGTCATAACCTATATGTGACTCAGCTCAGAATTTGTCTATAAGATTTTTCGCAGAACCTTAGCAGGTTATTAAATATAATCCTCAATGAGTCACTTCAAGCACCATCATTCCTATCCTTTTTGGTGCCCGTCTAATAGCTCTTAAAAAAGTGGCTAAGATATTTACCAAGTCATAGTAAGGTCTTTCTTCCCAGGAACTGTTTCTGAAATTATTCCTTCACGAATCAAAGAACTCATTTATGCTGCCTCTGTTTATCTTGCCCGTATAATTAATTATCAAAAATAGTATTTCTGATGATGTTGTTTGAAACTTGATTTTAATAATTTCAATATACTAAAACTTCAACACTTCGTTCCTTTTTTGGCGATCCTGGATAATTATCATATTCTCCATAGCTATTCAAGCCCTACATTTCTAAAATATAACAGTAACCTAATCAAATCTGTGAATTCAACAGGAATGCCCCTTAGGTCCTGTCCTCTTTTGCATTGGGATCGACAAAAAATTCATAAAATTCAATCCAAATCATCCTGACCTTTAATTCCTGGTATCTCAATAATGACATTGTTGAGGGCGACCTTTCTGCATTCCTATCCACCAAGATATTTAAAAAATAAAATGTTACTATATTTTTCTAATAAAAATAGTTGTATCGCCACTCCAACCTTTGAAGACATCTTAAAGGAATGGGATATTTGTCTTCAAAGAAAAAAATATTGTTGTTTCTCACAAAATTAAATTAGAATTAACAAATATAACAATAATTTTTGATAAATAAAATGTAATACATATTATAGATGTCACTAAATATTCTAGTGGCAAATAATAAAATAATTTAAATATTTTAAATTATATTTTTTAAATTTAAATTTACATAATCTAAATCTGGGAAATATTTGATAAATGCCCATCTTACAATCAAGAAGAAAAAAATTTACTTTTCACATATCTACCAAAGTATATGACACACTATATTCGTCGACTAAAACCTATAAATAATAATGTGGTAAAGCATGAGAATTTACATAATAGTTTTTTTTAATAATTGTAGACACAATTATTCCTAATAAAGGTTTTAACTTTTTCTTTTAATTTTTAATTATATTACTTATATTTTTCTTTATTTTGAAACAATAACTAATAAATTTTATTAGTATTTCTTTTTTTCAAAATGTAAAAATCTGAATTATAATAATATAATCTTTCTTTTTTTCTATATATAAATATATCTTTTTTTACAACTAAAACATAATTATCAAAAAAATAATAATTAAAAAAAAAACATAATTCTACGCGTTAAGAAGAAAAAAAACCAATTTTTTATTTATTTCCCTTTTTTTTACAATTAATATTTAATTATCTAATAACAAATAAAAAAACATAGCTATTACAAATAATATTTAATTATCTAATAATAAATAAAAAAACATAGCTTTTACAAATAATATTTAATTATCTATTAACACATAAAAACATAGCAATTCGATTTTTAGACAAACAACAAAAATCAATTTTATTTTTTTATCACGAATCAAATAATAAATAAATTAATAATATATATAATTTTTTCAATCAATAAAACATCTGATTGACATTTTTTTAAATATAATATTATATTTTTTTCTAAGTATAATTAATAATATCTACAACAGTTTTGTTTGTAAAAGAAAAAAAAATAATGTTTTATCAATTTTTTTTTAAATTTTTGTACAAATAAAATAATAATAGTATTATTTTTTATTTTATATATATATATATATTTTTGTAGAAAAGATTATCATATTGTTACTGTTATTATGCTGAATTATTATTATCATTATTATATAGAATTATTGTTTTTATTGTTATAGAATTATTATTAATATTGTTATTATATAGAATTATTATTATTATTATTATATAGAATTAGTTATTATATAGAATTATTATTATTATTATTATATAGAAATATTATTGTTATTATATCAAATTATTATTTTTATTGTTATAGAATTATTATTAATATTGTTATTATATAGAATTATTATTGTTATTATATAGAATTATTATTATATCAAATTATTATATCGAATTATTATTATTGTTATTATATAGAATTATTATTATTATATAGAATTATTAATTGTTGTTGTGATTTGTTTTATCGGTAAATAATAAAAAAATAAAGTAAATTTTTGCGTTTTTTGTTTTTTTAAGATAAAAAATGGAGATTTTCAAGAATAAAGGAGCTATGAAGTGTATCTTGAAAGGATTCTGGTAAATAAATAAAATAATTTGGTTAGTTAATAATAAAAAAAGAACCGAACTTCAGATTATAAAAGTGTTAAAAAAAGAAACCGAATTTCTAAATGCAAAAAATACTAGTTATTTAAAAATTTGCTCCTTGTATTTTCAACAAAATATATATTTGCAGTTGTGTCGCTTAAAATTTTATTATATTAAATAAATTTTTATAATAAAAGCAAAACGAACACATTTTCATTACAATTGACTTCAAAAAATTTAATATACCATCCACCCTAAAACCATCGGGCCTTTCAGATGAAAACGTCATTCGTACCGATAATATATCCTTAATTCCCTTGACTAACGGTCTCCCGTTGACTTGGGACTATGTGTCGATTTTTCAGCATGGTTCAACCTGGGATTTTCTGTCATTTAAGATGCGGAAATCCATAAAAAAGCAAATATGTTGGCCTCACCAACATATTGTTTATTTATACGAATCGTTACCAATACCTTAGGCATTTTAGGAAGTGATAGCTTCAACTTTAAGGAAGAAAATCAGACAGATTTCTGGAGACCTCAATGAAGAAAAATGGCCAATCCAATTTTTTAAGCATTCAGTATCTCTAGGATGATATGTATTGAATTAAGAGTTTGAGCATCATTGTAAAAGATAAAGGTATTAAAATTGTAACAATATTATTATAATCCATGTCTATATTTATTTATCTCCATTAATTATAAAATAATAAAATATAAAATAACATATATTAAAATAACATTATAAAAAGATTATAGTCAAAAATTTTTTTTTAAAAAAAGTTAATTTTAACCATAATCAAATAATTTTCCCTTAAAATTTCCTTATTTACATAGTCTATATGAAATTATATAATATCGTAAATAATTCTTCTATGAATAAGATATTTTAAAATTATTCATCTGAACATTGCAATAATATGTACCTTTTTTAATATATTTTTTAGTTCTTTTTAATGTTTGTATTATAAATTATATTTAGACGACCCCAAAAAAGGATTCTAGCAAGTCCAATTTAGCATTCCCTTCTCTCTAGAGTTATATGAGTTTTTTTTAAGAAGGAAGGAAGGAAGGAAGCGTTTTAATGATTTACTATATAGAATTTATAAATATGTTTATTATTTATTTTTAAATATTTTTAATTTAATAATGCTCGTATTTTATTTTAATTTAATTTTTTACATTGTTTTTAAAAGTTTTTAATGATAAAAAAAAATTATAAAATAAAAATTATACAGTCAAAACCGCTTAATTGCATATCGCTTAAGTGTAAATTTTTTTAAATGGGGAAAAATAAGCTATTTTGTTAAAATTTACAACGGTATAATGCAAACATATATTTTTAAATGCAAATCAGTTATTTGCGAAAAATCGGATATATGGGGAAAATTCTAAGTTCCATTTATGATGTCATTTTTATCGGATAAGTGCAAAGCGACGATTTTCAAATTGTTTAAAAAAATTATCCTAGAATTAATTATGGTAATTATTAATTAATTTATGCAAAAATTGTTATATTTTTAATAATAAATTTAAAACATTGACACTTAAACAAGAGGCTGAAGTTATTGATAAATTAGATACATCTTCGAAAGAGCACTTAGCAAAAGTTTATAATTGCCACATCTCTATCTACAGAATTGAATCAAACAAAAAATTCACATTATCGCAATGCCTTACAAATAAACCAGCAGCAAGTAAGAGAATCAGAAATAGTAGTTTTCCGAAAACAGACAGCATTAATAATTTGGTTTGCACAGATGAGAAGCAAATGTGTCCTAAATGGCCCTGACATGATGGAAAAGGCTATAATTTGCAGCAAAACATTTTATGAAGGTAGTTCTAAATTATTAAAATTATCTATAATTTTTTACATTCTAAGGATTTTCATTGCTAGTTGGCTGCAAAGATTTATGAAAAAAAAGCATAATATTAATTTTCACATAATCTGCAATGAAAGAGGGAATGCAGATCTTACTAATGCTAATGATTGGAGCAAGAAAATGCTCACTTCTCAGATTGATGGTTATGTTAGATGCAACATATATAATTGTGATAAAACTGAACTGTACTACCGTGCGTTACCAAAGGGAACCATGGAATTTAGTGGAACCCAAGCATTAGGGTCTAAACAAGATAAAGAAAAGGTAACAATTCTCTTTATCATAAATGGAGATAGTTCAGATAAATAACTTTATGTAATTAGAAAATTTAAAAATCCAGGATGTTTTAAAAATAAAAAGTTACCTGTTAAATTTTACTCTAATAAAAATAGATGGATGCCACTCTAACCTTTGAAGACATCTTAAAGAAATAAAATATCTTTAAAGAAAAAATATATTATTGTTTTGTTACAATGCTAGTTGTACAAAATTAAATTAATTAAAAAATATAGCAATAATTTTTAATAAATAAAATGTAAAATACTAAATAGATGTCGCTAAATATTATAGGAGCAAATGATAAAATATTTTGTAT